CCGAAAAACACTATCACCTATCACCACGGTGCATACAACAATCACCATCACCGTTGTGTCTACCTTGCTCCCTTTACCTAATTTATCCTTTTTTTTTCCTTCCATTTATAGGAATTTACTTTTGCAATCCTGTATAGTTATTTTTTTTTCTTTTGTAAAAAACTTATTGTGTTTTTATTAGTGTATTATTATTACTTAAGCTTGAGTTCATTGGGAAAAAAAGAGATTGATAAAATGTATGAAAAATAAACAAACATTGTCGAATGATACTTTTGTTATATACTCTTATGCGTAGTGTTTCGGTGGTTTCTTACGTGTCCTACAGGAGAGTTACGTCACCAAGACTGGATCCTCTTCGCATGTACCTGCAAACAAATGAAAGCTCCGGTTGTGCGGAGTTCCGCCTCTGACGATCAAGTTAGTATGAGTCGTAGGTGAGTAAAATGTGCAGAAAGTAACGTAGATCTTCTTGGATCTCGAGATCAGGTGATTTTTCTGTTGTAAGAGAATTGTATTGGTTGTAATAAATGAACATACCCCCAAAATGGGGTAAATGTCCCTATTTATAGGGCACTGGGAATCAGCGCCCTTGTCCTAGGTTATCAACCTAGGTTATTAGACTGCGCCGTTTATACGGCGCCTCGGGATTTGGGCCTTTGAAGGCCGCCATTTCCCTGATGCTAGGAGATACCACGTGTCGTCCACTAGTTGGTCCCTTTGGGACCTCTCCTAAGGTGCCACGTGTCGCCTTCTGATTAGGCTACGGGCCTTGGGTATTTTTACCCAAATCATTTGCCCCTCACAAAGGGTGACGTGGTGTGCCACGTGGTGCCTGTGACACTTGTCACTTAGGTAGCGATTAACTGTTTTTACTGTTCACCTTATGGGGAAATTACAGGGATGCCTCTGAATTTACCCAACTATAATAGTGGTTTTACCCTCCTCATTTTCGACATTTTCCAAAACGTTTAGAGAGAAAGCTGAGAGAATTTTAGAGAGATAAACTTGGATCACTGTCTGACATTTCCGTCTAATATTACCGCCTGATACAACCGTTCAACGCCTGTCACAAATCTTCCTTTTTCAAAAAAAATTCTTGAGGTAACCGTCTCTCTCTCTCTCTACTTTTTCTTGTCCATTTTACCGTTTGTGCAGATTGCTTTACAATAAATGTAACACCCCCAAATCTCCCTCTAAGAAATTACCAGTATAATACGTATAGTTATACCATAGAGATAGACTTAGGCGTATTACCACTGCGTGATTACGCAAGGCTGCTCAAACTTCTAATTAAAACTACAACTTCGCTGCGGAAAATTCAAACTCTTTCTTTATTAATACTTAATAAAAATAGTAACCAATGTTATGAGTACTAAAAAATAGAGACAAATACCAACATTCCTAAACTAGGTGAAGAACATCCCGGGACTCCCAAATGCTCAATTATTGACTCCACCTGAAAATAGTCAACACTACTTACCATTAAGGTAAACAGGGCAAACCAAAACAAATAGGAAATACGGATTAGCAAAATATGCTAAGTACGATAAGTCCAAGATAAGTAAACTCAATTTATTTGCAAACATGCTTTCAAAACCAATTCCAATAATTAATCCAATAATTCAAAACTCATTATTCCAAAACCAATTCACATAATCTAATATTTCAAATACTTAATTAATAAAACCATTTCCTCTTTTTAAATCCAATTCCTCTTTTTAAATCAAATACCTCGCCCAAGTGTGCACACCCCCCAAGCTAGTCTCCTTATATTGCAAGGCTATTCTTGAGGAAAGGCTCAGTCATACAAAGTCCAAAGTCTTATCAACCAAATCCGCATATTGGGATTACTATCAACATGCTTGTAAAGAGTTAATAAGAATAAATCAATAAATCCTTTTTAATTTAATAATTCCAATCTTTATAATAACAATTCAAACTTCTTTTTATTTAATTTCACATGCTTTCAAAATCAAACCTTATTTTTTTAAACATGTTAATAATTTAATCATTCAAAACATGATATAAAAATCAATCCTCAATTTATTTATCAAAATCAATTCTTTAAACATGGTTTTATTTCATAAATCATAATTCAATTCAATTTAATTCAATCACCATAAAAATTATACAAAACATGCTTATTCAATCCAATCAATTTCAAAGGTATCTAGCCACCTAAACGTACCTTTGATCCTTGCTAGCAACACAAAAAGGGACTTCAAGAACTTTGATCAAACACACCCTACAAACAAATATAACCTTAATTAATATAAGGTAACAAATAATCACAACAATTAAAATAAAAACCCCAATTATATGTACATGAACCTTATCAATTATTTTTCATAAACTTGAATAAAAATCTGATTTTATTTAATTAAAACTACTCATAATAATTTTTATAAATCCCTCATAATAATAATAATTAATTAAATAAGAGAAGAGAAGAAGAAGAGGTAGAAAACCAAGGAAAAGAGGAAGAAGAAGTAGCGGCAAAGGAGGGCAGGGTGGACTGAAGCTCCACTGTGAATGGTTATGGAGCAGGCATCATATGTCAGTCACCCGAAGGCGACAGGTATGAGTATGCTCTACGATTCAACTTCCAAGCCTCGAACAACGAGGTGGAGTATGAAGCTTTGCTGGCCGGCATCCGCATGTGCAAGGCGGCCGGGGCAAGGAAGATAGCCGCCTGTTCAGACTTGCAATTGATAGTAAGTCAATACAATGGTGATTATGAAGCCATCCACCCGACCATGATTAAATATTTACAGGCGGTAAGACAGGCGGTCGAGTCTCTTGAGGAATTTCATTTAACTCAAGTACCCAGGTTCGAGAACAACCAGGCAGACGCCCTCTCTAAACTGGCATCCTCGGCCTCCTGTGACACTCCAAGGACCGTTTTCTAGGAAGTTATGGAGAAGCGAAGCATTGAGGAAGAACCTGTTGGAATCCTTGATAGAAGCTCAACCTGGATAGACCCTATCAGGGCCTATTTAACAACCGGCACCCTGCCGAGTGATCACTCCCAGGCGGCCCAACTAAAAAAACGGGCATCCAGTTTTGAAATGTGCAAGGGAGAACTCTTTAAAAAGGGCTATCTTCAACCTCTCCTAAAACGTGTCACCCTAGAAAGAGGACGAGAGGTTTTAGAAGATCTACATTCAAGGTACTACGCTTCTCACGTAGGCGGCAGGTCGCTTGCTCAAAGAGCAAGGCGGCAAGGTTACTTCTGGCCTACGTTGGAAGCTAACGCCATGCAAATGGTTAAAAAATGTGACAAGTGCCAAAGGTTTGGCAAGTTAATCCATCGTCCGGCCACCGACCTCACGGTCATCCATAGTCCTATACCGTTTTCTAAGTGGGGCATGGATATCCTAGGGCCCTATACGCCTGCAACAGGCGGTAGGAGGTACATTTTGGTAGCAGTCGACTACTTCACTAAGTGGGTGGAGGCAAAAACAGTTAAGGGTATCAAGACCAAGGACGTCATCTCCTTCATATGGAAGAATGTCATCACTCAATTTGGGGTACCCATGTCTATGGTTTTTGATAATGGTCCCTAGTTTGAGACGCCTGTTCTCAAAAACTGGTTGGGAGACCAAGGTATCTCCCATTTCTTTGCATCAGTCGGCCGACCACAAGCAAACGACCAAGTGGAAGCTTTCAATAAAATCATCTTAGACGGTATCAAAAAGAAGATTGAACGAGCAGGCGACCTACGAGCAGACGAACTACCACACGTTCTCTGGGCCATAAGGACGACTGAAAAAGGGGCGAGGGTGGTGACCGGTGGTGGTTGGCGCAAGAAAAGGTGAGAAAAAGAGAAGATAATTAAGAGAGAATTAGAGAATTTTGGTGTGAGTGTTTAGCCATGAATCAAGGGGTATTTATAGGCTAGTTCATGCAAGAATTATGGTACACTACTAGAAATAGGCCAAATTCCGACGGACCATTTCCGACGGACATGTTTTTCCGTTGGAAATCCAGTAAATTCCGACGGAATTTTATTCCGTCGAACATTTACGACGGATTTCCTACGGAATAAAAATCCGCTGGAATTTATGGGATTTCCGGCGGAATATTCCGTCGGAAATATAATGTTTCGACGGAAATAAAATCCGTCGGAAATTTCCTACGGATTATTCCGTCGAAACATTTAATTTCCGGCGGAAATAAATTCCGTTGGAAATTTCCGACGGAATATTCCGTCGGAAAATAATTAGATAAAAAAAAACTAACCCTAAAAAAAACCGGTTCCCCACCCCCTTTTATTTCTCTTTTCTCTCTCCTCTCCTCTTCTCTCCGCCTCCAGCTCTTCTCATCTCCCTCCTCTCTTTCTCTCTCCTCATTTTTCTTCTCCTTTCTCTTCTCCTCTCGCCTCTAGCCTCGTTCCTTTTCTCCTCCTCCTCCTCCTCCTCCTCCTCCTCCTCCTCCTCCTCCTCCTTTTCTCTTCTCTCTCAGCATCCGTCACTCCGCCGGACGTCGCTGCCCCCACCACGTCGCCGCCTCGCTTTGCCCTCTACACACCATTATTCCTCTCCTCTCTCAAGCCTATCACTGACCATAGCAACACCGAGCAACAAATAAATTCTCCAGCAAATTCGAGCCAAATCCAAGCATTTTCGAGCAAAAAACACGAACAAAAACCCTAGGAAGTTTGGACCCTAACCCCCCAGTAAAATCGAGCAAGTAAAGGCCAAAATCGAGCAAATCCAAGCGTTGTTCAGCCTAGATTCAGCCCAGTCGTTCGTCCAGCTTCGTTGTTGTTTTCTAATTTGTATTCTGTTTTTTTTTATTAATTTGCATAGATCTGGTGTTTTTGAATAATTTTTTTTGTTCCGATTTGTATTCGTACGTCTGCTCCAATTGGTATAGAACACAATTTTTTTGTTCCGATTTGTATTCTGATATGTATTTTGTCTCAATTTATATAGATTTGTTTTTTTTCAATATTTTTTATTATTTTTGATTTTTTGTTTCGATTTGTATTCGGAAAAATGGGTGGAGGAATGGTGGTTACGGTGGGTGATCTAGGCTGGTGGGGTGGTTGGAATGGTGGTTACGGTGGGTGGTTTGGGCTGAGTGGGGTGGGTGGGTGGAATGGTGGTTACGGTGGGTGGAATGGGATGAGTGGGGTGGGTGGATGGAATGGTGGTTACGGTGGGTGGAATGGGTTGGGTGGGGGCTGTTTTATTTTTTATTTTTTTTATTAACATTTCCAACGGAAAATTCCGTCGGAAGCAAGTATTTTCCGATGGAATATTCCTTCGGAAGAGGTATATTCCGACGGAATATTTTCTGTCGGAAAATTGCGACGGACCCTCGATTAAAGTCAAAAACAGCGCCGACAAAAACAAATCCGTCGGAAATTCCGTCAGAAACTCTCCTTCCGACGGAATTTTCGTCGAAACAGGTCCAATTTCCTACAAATGTGTTCGCGACAGACTGATTCCGACGGAATTCCGTCAGAAGGCCGTATTCCGATGTTTCCGACGGATTTTTTCCGTCGGAATCAAGCTGTTTTCTTGTAGTGGTAGGAGAATGTAGGAAGAATTATGGTAAAAAGAATTAAGGAAAATACTTGGAGAAGAGAGCTAAAGAATTATCGAAAGTTTAATGTTAAGGTGACTAAGAAATAATTAATTTATGGAAAGTATGCTGTCATGAAAAATAATATGGCAAATAGCTTTGCTTGGGAAATAATCAAGGATGAAATAAGGTAGGGAAATAAGATGATCAAATATTTAGGAGATAGGAAATAAGAATTAAGAAAAAATAATAGATTTAAGGGAGATAATTAAAAATACAAATTACAAAAATAAATCACCCCAAAATCCAACCAAGGTGGCTGAAAATTTTGAGCTTCCATAGCCCAAATTTTTAGACCCCTTATGTAGAATTTAGGAAATTATTTTGCTAGATTTGAGGGATTAAAAATGATTGTGTAATTAAAATATATTTTGTATAAAATAATTAATTAGGAAAATACCAATTATTCACTAATTAAATTGACTGAGAAAAATCAGAGTTTCTTCACTAAGAAAATCCGAAAACCTAGCTAATTAATTAGAAAATTTTTCCCTAATTAAATAAATAAGAAAATATAATTTGTTTAATTAAAATAGCCAAAATATATATATAATCCGGTTTTTAAATAAAATAAGTGGATAATAAATTTTATCCAAATTCCAAAAATAATAATTAAGTTTTAAAATACTTTTGGCGCCAAAATTCAAATAGTAAAATAAATTACTAAAATACCCTTTTTAGAAAATAATAATTTATTAATTAATTAGAAAATACGTTTAAAAATACGGGGTATTACAATAATGTCTTCACTGACAACACACACGGCACAACCTATGACAATGGTCAGCCGGTCTCTTGGTAAGGCTGAGTCTAGGACTGGGGGTGCCGTCTCTGGGTGTTTGGACCACCCTTGTTCTTCCCCGAATTCGACCGCCTTTGTGTCTGTGCAGGACACTATGGCTCGGACTAAAATGACGGCGCCTGCCCCAGAATATAGGGAAGACGGTACCCTAGAAGTTCCGGCTGACGAGGTCTATGACCATCCTCCGGGTGCACCAAGCACCTCAAGCGACTTCATTTTAGAGGAGTCAAAAACGAGGAGTCCGGCTCTGGGTCGGGCTTTGAAGAATCAAGCAGCTTACTACAGGCGGATACTGATGACAAGGAGGATGAAGCATCCTCATGGCCTAAGCAGACGGATCCGTTTGGGGTCGTGTCTGCTAGGTATAGAGCAACCATGGAGACGGGCATGTCCGCCTTTATAGCCAAGCGTCCCTTAGAGGAAAATTATGGAATTAGAGTGCCGCCTAAGGCTGGCACAATTGCTTGGGAAGACGATTAACAAAACGCCGGCAATTATTTCGGCTGCTATGAGGCGGCATTCAAGGTCGGCTTACACTTTCGCTTTCACGATGCAGTGAAGGCCATCTTGAGGGGGTATGACTTAGGCGTATGGCAACTCACCCCCAACTCGTGGGTGAACATTCTTGGTTACATTGCCGCCTGCGAGATGACTTAGGCCATCTTTAGGGGGTATGACTTAGGCGAGATGCAGAATATTAAACCCGGCTGGGAAGCCTTTGCTCATATGCATTATCTAAGCCGTGCTCCAGGCGGCAGGCGGGCGTGGTATACTCTGACCATGCATCCTAAATATCTAATGATGCTTGACAAGCCGTCAAAATGGACCAACTGGAGGGATAAGTTTTACATAGTCTCCTCTCCCAGCCGGTGCGAGAATCATGAACTTCGCCGGTATAATAAGAAGCCGGATCTTTTGGGCAAAAAGTGTGCCCTGCCGCGTGTCCCAGACGAAGGTTAGGACGAAATACTAGAGCCGGATTTCTTCGGGGTCACCACCATGCCCCTGTCAGACGGTATAGAAATAATTATACTAAAAAATTGGATACCCCACCCTAAGTGGTTTAAGGACAAGGCATTCTTGTCCGCCTGTGGTCTTAGCACCATGTTCGATAAACGTACGTAGGACAACCATCCGGCACTTTTATGCCGTGTCTATTGTTTGCATGCTTTTTTGACTTCTTGTTGTATATTTGTCTAACAGACGGTTTCTTTTGTAGAAACAGGCATAAATATGGTTTCAGCCGATAAGACGCCTGCCAGATCTGTAGCCCAGATCAAGAAGGATAACTTGGAGAAAAAGAAGGCCCAACATGCGGCAAAAAAGGTTCAGGTATGCTTCGTCTACCATTTTCATTTGTACATTTTTCTTTCTTCGTTTTTTTTTTTCTTTTTTTTTGAGATGGCAAATGCCGACTGTATATGATGTGTTCCATCATTCAGGATGAAAACAAGGGTCCTCCAAGATCCGTTACCAAAATGATCAAACGAAAGCCGAAGGACGAAGCCAAGGGCTTCTCCAAATTAAGGAAGATGTCTTCCTCCCAGGCGGTTCCTCCCTAGTCGTCTGGCAAGGACTGTTTGACCTCAGGCAGAAAAGCCTAGGCCTTAAAGGCTTTGGCGTTGGGATTGACCTAGTCGACAAAGAGCCAGGCGCCTCAAGGGTGCCAAGGAGTGGCGTGCCACTTAATGCTGCATCCGATTCTACAGCGGCTGTGGGCGATCTGAGTCTTTAGCCATTACCCCATGGTACAACTACCTCTCTTGAACCCCCATGGCCCCTTAGTCCTATGTGAGTCAAATCTAAGTCTCATCAGCAATCGGAAAATTCGTCAAGCAGCCGACAATCTATTAGAGTCGCTTATGTTGCAATCTCAAAAAACTTCCTTTTGGTGCAGATCTTTCCCCCAGATGGGTGGATCTCTTATAGTATTCCAAACAGATGATGAGGATCATCACCTGGTCTGAGAAGGAGCTGATCCCAGGGTTGCATCAGGTCAACCTTGAACGCATCACCACCCTGCTGGCTGAGGTATTTTAACAGTTCAAATCTTTAGGCTTATTTTTAATTTGAGAACCGGCTACATCATTGACTTGCCGTTTGTAATGCAAGCAATGCTTAGGGTGGATAGGCTCAAGTCTTCGTTCAACAAGAAACAGGAGAAGGTAAGAGATGCCAAAGTCCGGGCTGCTGAGGCTGTTGACTCTGCTTAATATCGAATTGCCATGAATGATATTAAGACTAAGGCAGAGTCAATAACGCAGGCGAAGACCATCAAGAAGCTGACAACCGCGCTGGAGGCGGCGAACAAGAAGACATCTGACCTGGAGCTCGAGCTTAAAAATGCTCAGTCAGACCTCAAGGCTCTCGAAGCGACTGAAAAGGAGAACACCCATCTCCGGGCAGACGTCGATAGACTCAAAAATATGTTGGCCTAGACGGCGTGTGATCACAAGGTAGCTCTGGCGGCGGAGCAGATTCGGCTGATTGAGGAGAACGAGAATGATTGCGAGGAGCGCATAAGAACCAGTCTGTGCCTCCGCCCTAGCAAAATTAAAGTTGTTGGTGTCTCAGCTGGCCTTATGCCGTTTATCTTTCCGGCCTGCGTGTCGAGTATATGCTGTAATCTTTAATAATCTTTTTATTTTATCGGTTGTGCAACCAGTTTTAACAATCAACTTCCTTTACCGGGCATGGAGTCGGTGTTTATTTTGAATGAAATTGCTGACTGTGTCGATTTTGCTTCATTTGTCAATGCTTTTAATTTTTTGCATTTTTGCTATATATGCTTGAATTTTTACCAACTTGTTGATTGCATGCGGCAACTAACAAACCGGCTGACCTTTTGCCCTTGGACGGCTGTGTGGTTTGTTTTAAAAAGTGGATTGATTAAATTGGGGTATATGCCTTGATATCCGAGGGCTTATGGTATTGCCTTGTCCATCGGATAAGGAACCGATTTCCGCCGTATGGGTCATTCATCCCAGCACATGACCGAATTTTCCTTCGGAAAATAACACGTGTAGATGTGTTTAAGACGCTTGTCTTTATATACTTGCTTTAAGCAAGCTTAGAGGATCAGACGGTCTAATGTACCGTCTGAGTGTCGTCCCATCGGGACGACTGTGCTTTTGCACCGTCTATGTTGCCCTAGAGCAATAACTGACGTTTAAAAATGTTGTAATTAACAAATTATTGGATTTTTAATCTAAAGTGGATTAACGACCGGCATCTGCCTATTAGCCTATAGGGCACGCGGTTACTTACGCCGTTTAGGTCCCACGTTAGATTTTTCAAGAGAAAACGGCTATGACTAGTCCTTATTAAGGCAGTCGGTTGGGCCGTTTGTGGTATGAGTTTGAAAAGTAATGTGCCACCTAAATGGGAAATTCTCTCTGTAAGCGAAGTCACCCGGATGGGTTTCGCCTAATGTCATACTCTATGAGAGTGGACGGTTTGTTTAGACTTACTGCCTGTACATCGCACAGGCGATGTTCCCATAGGGAGGCGCATCTAATGTTGTAATTGCTATAAAATAAAATCAAATTCAAATAAAAAGCAACTTTCATAAATAAGCTTTTCATTTACAAAAAATTTACAAGTCTTAGAAGTAGTAATTCTTTAAGTTCTCTACATTCCAAGTTCTGGCTAGCTTCCTGTCGTTTGGTGTTTCTAGGCGGTAGATGCCGCCTCTGAATTCTTCATAAATCCAATAGGGACCTTCCCAATTAGGGCTCAATTTGCCTTGCTCATTGGCCCTATCGGTTGCCTTCATTATTCGTAACACAAAGTCCCCTACTTTCAAGGGACGTTTATGTACTTTTTAGTTGTAGGCTCTTGTCATTCTCAGCCGGTAGATCTCATGACGTAAGACGGCATTGCCCCAACGTTCTCCCAATGCCAGCCGTATGGCTTCTTAGTTAGCATCTTCACATACAACATGACTCGAAGAGTCGGCTCATAAAGCTCAATAAGTAAGACGGTTTCAGCACCGTGTACCATGAGGAATGGGGTTTCTTCGGTTGCCCCTTTTGCTATTGTTGTGATGGACAAGAGAACATGAATTAACTTTTCAGCCCATAGACCGCTAGTTCTTTCAATCTTTGTTTTTATGCCGTCTGAGATTAGCTTGTTGAAGGCTTCAACCTTGTCGTTTGCTTGGGGTCGGCCGACTAATGCAAAGCAGTGAGAGATCCCTTGGTGTCCTAGCCAATTCTTAAGGGTAGACGTTTCAAATTGAGGGCCATTGTCAAAGACCATAGACATAGGAACCCCAAACCGGGTGATGACATTCTTCCAGATGAAGGAGATGACATATATAGTCTTTATGCCCTTGATAACCTCGACTTCAACCCACTTGGTGAAGTAGTCAACAACCACTAGATTATACCGCCGTCCGCCTAACGCAGGTGTATACGGACCCTAGATTTCCATGCCCCATTTGGCAAATGGCACTGGGCTATGAATTGCCGTCAAATCAGTTTCCAGACGGTGTATGAGTTTCCCAAACCTTTGGCACATGTCACACTTCTTCACCATTTCCATGGCGTCTGCTCAGTGGCGGATCCAGGATTTGATTAATAGGTGGTCCCATCATCATCCATCGACCGCATAAAGTATCAAAAAAAAGTCAAAGCTTGTATAATGAACAAAAAAAATGACATAAAAAAGTTCATTTCATAAAGTAATGCAAATTCGTATTACAACTAAAAAATTATTAATTTTATTACAATTGCTCTCGACGAGTTTTCATATTTTGATAACGATTTAAAATATCATCCATGCTAACATTGTAAAACAAATCTCTTTCTAAATAAGTAATCAAACAATCATTCAACATTTGATCTCCCATGTTATTACGCAATTTATCTTTCACTTGCATCATTCCGGAAAATACTCTTTCTACACTTGCTATTGGGGAAAAGATAGCCCATCTTCATTTTGAGGGAAATTGTGAGATGGGGAAGAATGTTGTTCACTAGCATGATGTAAAGGAGAACTTGGTTCACTTTCTTGAAAGGGTAAATCATTTTGTGGAGGAGGAGTATCATTTTGTAGAGGAGGATTTAGAGTAGGCACTTTTTTAGTAAAAAAACTTGAAATATCTCGAGTTGTTTTTCTTTTCATTCTGAAATTGAAGTTAAAGGTTGCATTAGATAAATCATACAAGAAGGGTTCTCTCAAGGTTATTAAAACTAATAATATCATCAAAACAACGCCCATTAACCTCAATTTTAGTCCACCCTTCAACCCCAAATCTCCAAATTAGCGATTCCTAACTAAATTTCAAACTAGAACAACATAATCACCATTCTCAATAGCTAATAAGAAGGTTGGACAACTATTATTATTTATCAATTAAATAGAAATAATACTATAAATCTATAATAGGGCTCAAATGGTCAAATATCCGGCCACAACTCACATAATCAATTAATCACATTCACAAATCACACCATTCAAGCTCTAATAAAATCATTCAGATAATCAAGTGACAATAACAAGTCATAACATTCAAGCTTTGATAAAGTCATACACTCATACAAATAATCAAGCTCTAATAAAATCAAGAAATTTCACCCAAAAAAAAAACAAAAAAAAAACAACAACTCATACAGTGAATCAGTGAATCAGTGAATGGCAGAATGGTCATATAGATAATTTGATGATTAAACATTTAAACTGATAATTTGATATAGAATCTAATCAATCTATAATCTTATTGTAATGTAATTATGTAAATTAAAACTAACCTAAAAAAAAAATCGAATTTCCACAAACACGCAGTGCGTAGAGACGCCTCTCGCTGTCACGCCTGAGTTCCTGACGGCTGACAGACAGAGCCTTCGCGACAGGGCTGCTGCGTGGTTTGAAACTTAGGGTTTTAATTTGGGGGAATTGGGGAAATGTTCTAAGTTTCTCACTTATGTTTTAATTTCTAAATCTAATAAAATTGAAAGTGAGGTTGTAAAGCAAAAAAAAAAAAAAAAAAGTGTGAGTAATGGGATTTGAACCCTGATATCGTGTGTGGTGGGATGGGAAAGAAACCATTGGGCTGCAAGCTAAAATTGTTGATATTCAGTTTTTTTTTTTTTTTATATAAAATAATAGGTGGTCCGCGGATCCACTATGACTACACGTGGGTCCGCCATTGTCTGCTTTCAGGGTCAGCCAAAAGTAACCTTGCCGCCTGGCCCTTTTCTGCTAGAGTTCTACCGCCTATATGTGAGGTGCAGTAGCTTAAGTGTAGGTCTTCCAGAATTTCATGCCCCCTTTATGAGATGATGCACTTCAAAAGAGGCAACATGAAGCCCTTTTTGAATAGCTCTCCATTGCGAATTTCAATGTTGGCCACACGCTTTTTCATTGCAACCATTTCTAGATATGTATTCGACAGAGTGTCATCTAGTAGGAAGGCCCAGATGCCGTCCATCCAGGTTGAACTTCGATCTAGCACGATAATGGGATCTTCTTCGATACTTTGTTTTTCCATCACTTCCCAAAAGACTGACCGAAGTGCATCACAGGAGGCGGACGATGCCAATTTTGACAGAGCATCCGCCTGATTGTTCTCTGACCGAGGCACTTGACTAAGATGAAATTCATTAAGTGTCCAAGCCTCTGTTCTGATCACCTGCAAATATTTGATCATAGCCAGATGAGTGGCCTCATAGTCACCATGGTATTGGCTAACGACCAATTGTGAATCGGAGCAGGCATTAATTTTCTTAGCCCCTGCCGCCTTACACATGCGTATACTGAATAGCAGGGCTTTATACTCAGCCTCGTTGTTTGAGGTTTGAAACTTGAACCGTAGTGCATATTCATATTTTTCCCATTCAGGAGACTGACTGACATATAGTCCCTGCACCACAGCCGTTCATAGTAGAGCTCCCGTCTACATATACTTTCCAAACATATTCCAAAATTTTCGGCTCTACCGGGCATGTCATTTCAACAATGAAGTCGGCAAACGCCTGACCCTCACTGCTTTCCTTGGTTCGAAAGTGATTTCAAGACTTTGCATTTTGATAGCCTACTTGAGCATCCTACCGGATGACTCTAGAGTTGTCATTGGCCGCTTGAGTGGTTGGTCTGTGTAGACAACCATCGGATGTGCCAAGAAGTATAGCTTCAACTTCTTGACTACCATGAAAAGAGCAAGGCCAAATTTCTCAACCGTTGAGTATCGGAGTTCTGCATTTCGAAGAACTTGGCTAACGAAATAGACCGGGAGCTGATTGTCGTCTCTATCAGCAAGGAGAACAACACTAAGAGAATGATCTGAGACGGCTAGGTACATGTAAAGCGTCTCCTTGGGCAAAGGGCTTATCAGCTTTGGCAAGGAGTGCAAGTGCTCTTTCAATTTTTGAAATGCCGCCTTAGCATTATCTCCCCGTTAAAATATAGTCTTCTTATTGATTGCTTGAAAGAAATA